CATCCACACCCATACCCTTAAGAGCTGGAGTAATTTGCAAAAAGTTAGTAAGAGTTTTCTCAGACATATGTCTTTAAGTAGCGTTCTGTGACAGAAAAAGCTATCTAGAATCGCTCCATAATCGGAAAAGTATTCCGCTGAGTGCTAATATTCATTTGATAACCCAGATCTATCAAAACGGTATCGTTTTCGGACCGAAAACGAACCGTAATAGTGGTCAAAACGGGTCTTTACGGTAGTATACCGGATAGATTCGGACCGATCTCGGCCCGTATTAATCCGTATTTCCTGGCGCAGAAATACGCACCATATTTGGTCGTTTTCTCTCCGTTTACAGATAAAATTCGAATCTTAAGGTACGATTCTTGTATGATCATATTCTAAGATTGTGCAAGATCTTCTATTATTCATCCAAAATTTTGTAGAGAGTTCAAATAGAGTTTTTCATCGATCTCATCGCTCTGTTCTAATCTCTGACCTTCTCCTTCCCTAATCAACCGTTCTCCATCACCTTCTCCCACTTTTCATCACTTTTTACCAAACATCACCACAGCTATGCGGGTGTGGTGTGGGTATGGGTGTGTGGGTGGGTGTGGGTGGGTGTGGGGTGTGAGTGTGGATGTGGTGTGGGTGTGGATATCACTTATTGGACCAGACACCCAGACCCACAAACCCACACCCACACCCACAACCCACACACACCCACACCCCCACCCACAACCCACCCCACACCCACACCCACACCCACACCCACACTCACACCCTTCCATAGAAGATGACGAATGAAGTTCTTATCGATGACCGCTGTCGATGTTGATAGCCTATCATGCATCATCGATGTCATTCATTCTCTGGAATTTCCAGAGGTTTTTTTGTTAATTGTTGCATAGGTCATTCAATGATTTCAGTCTACTCTATTTTTATTAGAAGTGATAATTAAAACCCGTTGTGTATGAAGTGTGCTGTATCAATCAAATGCTAATCTCTATTTATTGAAACATGAAACGTATGCTTTCTTGTCATCTAAAAATGATGGCTTAAAATACCATTTCTGTATTCTAAAGAAAGCAATGAATACTGTCACGAGTCTCTTCCATTCGAATGTAAGCGATGATTTCATCAACCATCTGTTGTTTCGTATTCGTTCTTTTCACGTAATTCTATCTTCTAATTCATGATTTCGCTACTATTGAATGATTTTCTATTTTAGTCTCACAGGTTTGATTTTTGTTTGACATGTTCACCTATTCATATATATTAATGACAGTTCTCGTGAAATGTGAAACGTGTCAAGGAGTATCTCAGTATGGTGAATGTTCGACGAATAGTGCATGTGGTTGTTTTCATACGAAAGCTACTGAAGACAGTGGTATATGTGCTTTTCTGTGGTTAACTTGTTCTCAACTTATCTCATGTGGGCTTTTAAATAATGTTTGTTATCAGCCTGATCATATCTGTGTTCATCATCCTCGATGTTTTGATCATCCCATTTGCTATCCGTTGTCAGCGACTGAACCAATCTGTCCACTAAGTGAGGCAACAAAGTCTTAGTCACAAATTGAGGCGAAACTCGAATTTCTGTTCAAAAGTTCTACCATAGTTCCTGGACGAAAAAATTAGAAAGTGTCTTTACACCAGTTCAAAAAGTATCCGGACACCCCATGTTTTTTCGTATTTTGGTTTTCGAAGCAGAAACAAGAGATAAAAATTTTCTTTTTTCACCAATAGTTAGTCTTCACCTCATACTAATGTCCATTTCAAAATAAAAGAAGGGTGGTTGTTTTTCGAATATCTCTTCAATCGAAAGAGTTATCGATCTGCGGTTTTCACCACCCAGGTCAAAGACGTACGGCGGGAAACCACCGGATCCGGTGGATTTCCAGCGAATTCCTGCTGCGGGATTCCCAAATAGGTCCCGGCCTCCGTTTCCAGCTTAGTTCCCAACAATTCCGGAGTTTGGAGACGATGTTCGGATACGGATGGCTGTTTCCAGTACGGTTCCAGAATACGGTTCCGGCGTCTTATGGTGGCAACAGGATACGAACCACATACCATCGTTTCCGGTTTGGTTTCGAAGCCCAGATCCGGCTGTTTGAAATTCGGCTGTGAAGTTCAGATCCTGTCACAGGACACGACAGGACACGAACGATAAACCGTCGTTTTCGCTCTGGTTTCGAAGCCCAGATCGGACCGTTTGAAATTCCGCTGTGAAATTCGGATCCGGTCACAGGACACGACAGGATAGGACTCGGAGGGTGCGGGTGTGTGGGTCGGTGTGGGTGTGGGTCGGTGTGGGTGTGGGTCGGTGTGGGTGGGTGTGGACGGGTGTGGCTGTGGGTGCGGATAAAGAATATACCTACACCCACACCCACACCCTCGATTGACCCTATATATATGAGTGCTGCACCTGTTAGAGTTCATTCGAGTTACAAATGAGGTACGAGTAACATATACTAAAAATTCTTTTTTTGGATGTTAACAATCCGATTAAAAAAATCTTTCTTCATTCATTTTGAGACGCGACCCACCCTATATATATGAGTGCAGCATGTGTTAGAGTTCATTCGACATACAAAACAGGTATGAGTAACATGTATTAAAAAGATCTTTTTTCAGTCATTTTGAGACTCGAACCACCCTATATATATAAGTGCAGCACATGATAGGGTTCATTCGACTTAGAAAACAGGTAAGAGTAACATCGATTAAAAATCGATTTTTGATTATTATTGATCCGCTTGAAATCATATCTTTTGAGTCTTTGTAAGACATGGTCCTCCCTATAAATAGGAGTGCAACGCATATGACAGTTCATTCGAGTGACAACCCACTCAGGACTAACATCGATTAAAAAACGATTGTTGAGTATTATTAATGCGATTAAAATCAGATTTTTTGAATCTTTTTAAGACGCGGTCCTCCTTATGAATAGGAGTGCCCCTCATATTAGAGGTCATACGACTGTCGCAGTAGATAGCAATGGTATGAGATACCTGTGAAGGTAGGACATAACAAAGAACAGAAAGCTTCCATTGATGCAATAAACAAAACCAGCGTTCATACATGCTTCAATCTATTCCAATACCGACAGTCGTTTACTGAGGTTCATATAAGCAGCACAGTTACGAGATCCCATCATCGGCAAGCAACACGAGAAGACAAGAGTCGTGCGTGGGAAAGTCACTCGGTGTTTTTTCAAACGTTAGCTATTCTGCCTTTTTTCGAGCCTATGACAGCTATTTCAGTGAGAAACGTCTTTGAAGATCTTTCTGAGACTGTACCTTAATTTCAAGGTGTTTTTGGGACTGTAACGGTTGTTTTAATAAAAAAAGATCTTTTTGAGACTTTACCTTGATTTTAAGGTATTTTGGGGACTGTAACATCTGTGTTAATAAAAAAGTTCTTTGAGGATTTTTAGTGGAGTTTCCTGTGTGTTTGGATTAATTTTGGGGCTGTATGAAGGAATTTAGGAAATTGAGGTCCTAAAAGATCTTTCTGGAATTAGATCACGTCCTACCGATGATGACTAGATACGGTGTGTTTCCGTTGTGGTTCCTGAAGGATACGGTGTTTTCCTTTATTGTTTCCTGTGGGGTACTGCTGTTTCCGTGTGGATATGGCGTGGTTTCCGGTGCTTTCCGGTGAGCGGAAATCTGTCAGAATAGCTCGGTTCCGGGTACGAAGATTTTCCGGCCGGAATACTGCCACCGTGTTCCGGTTGTTTTTCCGGCCGTTTCCGGCGGGAATAACGCAGGAACCGGTGGGAATTGGGCGGAAAATACGGCGTTTCCTGCTGGTTCCAACCGGATCCGGAGGCCGGAATCATCGACCTGGGCATTAGAAAAAGCCTGACATTCTGCATCTTTCTGTATATTTGTTAACAAAATTTACTAATAATTTTGATGAGCAGTCAGTGAAATTCAAAGGAGAAGTTAAAGTGATTTGAAAAATGAATAGAATTTCAATTATAAGGAGTACGTTGGAATCTCCTACTCAAGATCTAAAACTTTACAGAAACTTGAAATCCTTATTTTATAGTATTCTAATTATATACACTCAGCAATGATTGTCCAAAATGCTAAAACAGCCATTTATGACCAGGTTGTTAAGTGTTTTTAAGTCAATGTTTATCAATTATCAATTAGATTTTCGATCATTCTCAATTGAACGAAGCTGTTCGTATTATAAGGAAATTGTTCTTTGTCATGTAAAGTCAGTACTAATCATATTACATCACATATCAAGTATCTACATCGAAAACTATATTGGTATAGCATACTCATAAATATTGAATATTTCTTCAGAATGATCGAAAATCTAATTGATAATTGATAAACATAGAATTAAAAAAACTTAAAAACCTAGTCACCAAAGGCTGTTTTCAGCATTTTGGACAATCATTGCTGAGTGTATATAATTAGAATACTACAAAATAAGGATTTCAAGTTTCTGTAAAGTTTTAGATCTTGAGTAGGAGATTCTAACGCACTTCTTATAATTGAAATTCTATACGTTTTTCAAATCACTTAAACTGCTCCTTTGAATCTCACTGACTGCTCATCAAAATTATGAGTAAATTTTGTTAACAAATATATAGAAAGATGCAGAATGTCAGCCTTTTTCTAATGGTGAAAATCGCAGATCGATAACGTTTTCGATTGAAGAGATATTCGAAAAATAACCACCCTTCTTTTATTTTGAAATGAACATTAGGTTCTGTGTAAAAATCAGCAATTTTGACTATCATTTCGACGTATGGGAACGTGTATCATGAGACAAGAGGTGCCCGGATACTTTTTGGACTGAGTGTAAAAGTGTTTTATATAGAAAAGTACATAGTGGAAATTTGAGAACTATGCAAAAATTCTCTCTTGTATGTTTGTAATTCCTGAAATTGCTGTGTTCCATTTTCGCAATTTTCATACTTTACATCTATGATTGGGAAGTATCCTTTGACGGAAATGTGTGCATACCAGCTATTCGGATAATGGCAAAATGAAATGAAATTTTTACTGAGCAAACGGATATCTTTTGTTCTTCGTGTTAATTTAGCTCCATCGCTACCGTTCAGACCTGGTGATGGCATTTGTAAAAATGCAACTTGGGCTGAAAATGCTACTACGATAGCTGGTGGCAATGGTCGAGGATCTCAACTCAATCAATTCGATCGTCCACATGGACTTTTTCTTGATGACAATCAAAATATCTATGTTGCAGATAGTGTTAATGACCGAATAGTTAAGTGGGATCGTAATGCTTCAAGTGGTCAGCTAGTTGCAGGTGGAAATGGAAGAGGAAACTATAGCAATCAACTAAATTTTCCACTGGATGTTATTGTCGATAAAAATGGAACAATGTACATTAGTGACAGAGGTAATGAGCGTGTTCAGCGATGGTCTCTCGGTGCTCAAAATGGACAAACAATTATAGATGATATATTTGTCTTCGGTATAGCACAAAATGATCAAGGCTCACTGTATACGTCTGATCTGCGAAAAAATGAAGTGAAGAAATGGCGAATCGGTGAGACGGTTGGACAATTGATCACTTCAGAAGTTCAATTTCCGGGCTTACTGTTCGTTGACCGATATCGATCGATCTATATATCTGACGTGTTCAACGACAGAGTGATAAAAGTAGATGACAAAACAACACAAATGTCAATTGTCGCTGGAGGATCTAGGGGCGATGGCGAAAACCAATTCTATTTTCCAAGTGGTGTTGCTGTCGATGGGTTAGGCACTGTCTATGTGGCTGACTCGTATAATAACCGAGTAATGCGATGGCCACATGGTGCTACATTTGGTACTATTATTGCTGGTGGTCGTGGCCAAGGCTCTCGATCTGATCAACTCGATAACCCTATTGGTATTTTATTTGATCCTGACGGAAATCTGTATGTTGTTGATCAGAATAACAATCGGGTGCAAAAATTTGACATTGATAACAATTCATGCTGAGACAACGAAGTCAACTAGTCTTTCCTACACTCAATTGTTTCTTATTTCGTCAGAACAAAGATAGTTGAAAATGATATCATATTGAGCTTCGTAGAAAAAAGCCATCGAAAAGTGTCCACTATGATGTCTCTTATCTCTCAATCTGCTTGTCTTAATTGTGAACCAATTTACAAAAAAAGTGCACACTTATGTTCTACGCAACTGAAAAAGAGAGTGTAAGGACGAGTTGATTTGAGAACCTTTCCAAAAATGAAAAAAGATTTGAATGTCTGTCACCTTCAGTCAACCCATATAGAAGTACAGAATCAAATTCTATCGCATGCTCCACTATATAATATCCGTACATCAATGAGCACAATCAGAGCCATACGTATAATCATTCAATGCCCTGGACAAGAGAAAAACGTTTACCCTAGAAAAGGGATCGACCCCACACCCTTTCAATTTCGTGCTAGAGTTATGTGTGTCAACGAACCCATCAAGGATACATGGCTAAGTCTGTTTTGCAGGTATTCTGTTTCAACATTCTCATGTTTTCCTTCAAAATTATTGTCTTCTCAAGTGATTCTGTCATAAGTTCTAATGCACCATCTAGTGTTTTGCCTCTTTTTCGTTCCTCAAGTATTTCTTTACCCAATGGTGTTTTTTCAGCAACAAATCAATAAGTTTCGGCTGCTCCTTCAAACATTTTTGATGATAAATCCACATGTTCAAATGTCTTGTCAACTTCTTCCATTGTACATATAAATCGTGCTGCTTTTGGTGGCAGATCTGGGATTATTTTGTTGGGGTGTGGGTGGGTATGAGGATGTGGGTGTGGGTGTGTGAGGTGTGGATGTGGGTTGGGTGTGGGTGTGTGGGTGTGAGTGTGGGCGTGGGTGTGGGTGTGGGTGTAGGTGAGGATGGTTGTATAGGCTTCAACTGCACGAACCCATACCCCACACTGTCACTCACACCCACCAACATCCACACCCACCCACACTCACATCTCACACCGACACACCCACCACACACTCACACTCACACCCACTCACACACCCACACCCTATGTCATCCTCATATTTAGCGTCCAAACGTCTGTATAACGTAGTATATTCTATATGAATCGACCCATTGTGTAAGGAAGTAAGCAGGTAATATGCACTGAATTAATCTTTTGACTTTATCATAATAATAATGTGCTTGAATAAAGCTACTCTTTTTGCGTAGGAGACTCATGATTAATTCACGTTGCCAAGAACGAAAAAACAACTTGCTAAAATAGAATGCGATGATAAGTTTTCAAAAAATTCAACAAAATTCAATTTTTGAGGAACTTTTGGAGCTACCATCACATGTTTGGATCTTGCCCCTAGATTTCATCAAGTGAGATCAAGTTAAGGATAAAATCCTCTCAAGAATCAAAATAAATTAATTCGAAAGAAAAATTCCTTGTATGTGGTGAGTTAAAAATAAAAATAAAAATTTAACAATATTCAATTTTTGAAGGAAAATGTTTTAACTTACAATAGAGTTGAAAGAAGAGATCCTTGTTTCCTATTTTTCTTGTTTTAAACTTTGAAGGCATGTGGCCGTGTAGGATATTTTTCGCGGTGTTCTCAGTGAGGTAGGGAATATTTGATAGTTTGAAGGTGATCAGTTTAAGTATGATATATATATATATATAAGCTTGTCTGCATTGATTTTATGATTTATTATGTGATGATTTAGATCTGCGCTCGGTCCTGTGTCAATTCATCAGAGAAGTTACCATAAAGTAATATATGTATTGAATGAGTTAAAGTAAATTAAGCAACAATGATGTATAAGTCTTTCGAAGAATAAATGAGTGTTGCTTGACGTGATATATGTTTTTGTTAAGTGAAAGTCGCATTCTAAATGATAGTAAATGTAAGAAGTGAAACGATTTAGAAGATAAGAAAAAAAACAAATGGAAAGTGTTTGATATAAGTTAGTTATTGATTATCTGACAGTTTCTTTGTATGGAACTTTGAAAAATACCACAATGTGTTAAAAACTCAATTAACAAAAAAATATCCATACAAATAACACATTTTATATGTTAATAGGAGGTTTTTAATTGTAACGAACAAAATCAAATTTTTATTCATTTAATCTATTTCTCGAGATTTATTGTAATAGAAAATGACTTCAATAGGAGAAACGATGATTTATGAATTGTTGTTTTTGTTTTCGTATTCTGTTAATATCTTTCTTTATTAGTTATGTATCAATAACATTTGATAATTTCTAGAAAAAATTTAATTAAAAATAAATAAATCACTTTTCTACTTTATGATTTGATTTTGAAATATAATTTCATATGAAATTATACTGCTTTTATAACATATAATAATGAATTCATGATAAGAATGAATACTACCACTGCGGAACTATGTCAATACTTAACTGTACTTACAATACGTTTGGATTTTTCTGAATTCTTATTTTTTTACTATCATACTTGTCAATATTTTATCGTTTAAGGGTGTGGATGTGGGTTTGAGACTTCACTTGATCAATCTACAACCACATTCCACATCCATCCACACTCGCACCCCAAAACAACAATTGAGAGGTCAAATAGAAAACCAAAAAAGAATGATCTACTATCTTGATCTTGAGAGTGAGAGAGAAATTGCTGTTTTAGCATTTTCTCTCCAATACTGCTTTATACGACATCCGAGTGATCGTCAACGTATTGATTACATACTAAAATTAGACACTTGTTCAGCTTGAGACTTTTATTGATCAACCTTCTACACTGAATATTTCAATGCAAAAAAAAATACTGACATATGAGAAATACATAATGCATATCAGTTATTACGACAAAACACATTTTCAATTAACGACGATTGATAAATTCTTGAATTTCGTTCATGAGACCAATCAACAGACTATCTCCTTCGAATAATGTATTCTGAATGCAATTGACAGCATTTTTCGATTTTGAAAAAGCAACAGCTAAACCATAAGTGAGTTGACTGACGCATTGTCGTGGTGTTGGCATCGGAAGTGTGCAGCAAAAGAATTGCTTGATCATGGTCAAGTCTTGATAGAATTGCTCAACTTTTTCTAATTCCATCTTAATGTGTTCATCAAACAAGTAATGCATTGAATATTCATTCATCAGATTTCGTAATGTGAAACATCGTTCCAACGAAAAGTAATTCTTCAGTTGCTGCGTAGAAAACTGAAGCAATGGAACCGAAGGCAATTCTGCACTCGGCGGACGGCGTTCTAAAATAGAAAAAGGTAGGGAAAGCTTTTCAGCAAAGTGACTATGATAGTTCGAATAAGAATTCAAGCTCAAACTGATATTTTGGTTCTTTCGTTTTAATTGCGATTTAATAAGATGTTGCTTTTTACCTTTTTCATCGTACGTATCAAGCAGAACATGCTATGAGAAACGAAACAATCAATGCGAGAAAAATCGAATCTGTCGATATGATCTCGTGTTCTCTTTTGCAAAACCATAGTTTTAGAATAATAAGCCATGAAACATAATCTTGGTGTATTCCACCCCAGTAGATGGGATTTTATGGCTGCAGTACGTTTTGAACACATTGCAAAACGAATTTCTTCTTATCATCTGTAAGCAGGTTAGTAATGTCGACTAGGGCAGGCAGATCATCTCCATTGATATGTTCAGATGGACAGATTTGTTGCCCTTTGTACGTAATCATCCGATAGGAATCGACAGTCTTTGCATTTTGTTCGTCCCATTTGAGAAGAATGTAGCAGAGCGGAAAAAGTAAATCGAGATGAGCCTGATTGCTGCCTTGATAGAGAATAAGCAATTCTCGAGAAACGAGAATATCAATAACAGCACGATCGAGTTCCCCATTGATGAAATTATGGTCAAGAAAAGGAGGAAGAAGAAAGCCATTTCGTGACATGATGGTTGATCGAGAAATATTGAGGTAGCCTTGCATTAAGTTCGTGAATTCCGAACGGTGCTCTGAAGAAACACGTTTGATTAATTTATCATACGCTTCATATTCGCCCACTTTTCGAATGTGATAGAGCAACGTCCATTGGCTGATAATCCATTGCTGTTTCACAGGATCTGCCTGCGTTCTCTCCAGCCAATGTCGAAAGTGTCTTTTATCATTGGTAGGTATTTTCGAATAGAACTCCTATAATCAACAATTGTTGCATTGGCATTTGAACGTTACAAACAACATGACATATCTGAAAGATATCGAAACCGACAAAATTATATCCAATCAGAGTTGCCCATAGAGCCACACTTCTGTTACTCATGTGCTTAAAAACATCATTCATTTGATAGATTGGTCCAGTAAATGTCTGCAAATCGAGAAAGCGTAGTGGAGCATAGCCTCGACGAAGTTGACAGAAATGATAGTCATAATCGCCGGCAACAATATAGGCGTCGCGTTCTTCAGCCATTCAGGCAATAGTCGGATCTGCTTCACCTTCTGCGACAATTATTTCGATTCCAATGTCATGTAGAATGTTCATAAATTCGTGCCGAAGGAGAAAAGGAAGTCGATTTCGATCATCATTGAGGTTAGCAAAACGCCAACTACTCGCTCTTTCAGGATCAGGCCTTTGGTAAGGATTTCTTTTTGAATATTTCATCAAAGACAGCAATCACGTTGGATGATTGTTCTTGAAATTGATGAAAGATCTCTCGAAGTCTCTTCCAACAGTTACCATAACTAAATGGAGTGCCAGTGGAACGTTTTCCGATTGGTTTTTCTTTGTCTTCTGCTACCATTTGGTCATAGATGAAATGGATAATTGAATTAGCATCAATGATAACATGTTGCTTTGTCAGATTGACTCGTTCAAGATGATCATTCGATGGAACGAGATATTCATAGATAAATATCGTAACGAACGGAAAACCCATACTGATTTGTACACAAAATTGGTAGAAGATATATCGAACTTATTCCAACTTTTCTTTTATAGGAAATTTGATATTTCTGCTTGCGGAAAAAAACCCACATGGTAATTCAAGCTTTTTA